ACTATAAAATTTCATTCTTCATCCCACTTTCATCTAGTATTAATGTACATTGATGTTTCTTTTGAATTTTTACTGTGCTGATTGCCAAGAACTGATTTTTTTTTTTTTTTTTTTTTGAGACAGGGTCTCACTATGTAGTTCAGGCTGGCTTTGAACTCGCAGTGATCCTCCAGCCTCAGCCTCCCGAGTGCTAGGATCACAGGTGTGCACCACCACCCCTGGCAAGGCATTCTTTTTTTACCCAGTTGAATACTGGATAATGACAAATCCATCACTCCATCCTTACTACCTGAAACCAGTCTATTCCTAAAGGCAACTGGCAGGTTTTGAGGTATGCACCTATAGTCCCAGCACTGGTGATCACTTGAGCCCAGAAGATTGGGACCAGCGTAGACAAAATAGTAAGATTCCATTTCAAAACAAAGCAAAACACACAAAAAGACAGCTCTAACCTACCACTCACCTCCCCGCCCGCCCTCCTCAGGACAAAACAGTTAGACATAAGAAATTACTGTTTGGGGCTGGGGATTTAGCTCAGTGGCACCGTGCCTGCCTCAAAAGCGCAAGGTCCTGAGTTCAATCCCCGGTACCAAAAAAAAAAAAAGAAAGAAAGAAAGAAATTACTGTTTGTATGTGTGGTTGTAAGACAACACTAACAACCACAAAAATCCTGATAGGACTTAATAATGCAAAGAATTAATTCAACAAATATTAGCGCCTACTATGGGCCAGGCACTGTGCTGTCACGAACTACGGTAAGAAGGCAAATTCTATTAGAATAGAGAGAAGCCACTCAAAAGGTGGGGCGCAAGAAGATGCCTTGGCCAGGTCCCTGGTATGTGGGAATTGCTCTGAAGGTGGAAAAGGGGAAAGAGTGGAACAGGAAAATCAGAGAGGCTACAATAATCTAGATGAAAGGAATGGGATTACTTAGCTCTAACAGGGTTAAAAATAAAAAGGCTAAGTATTAATTAAATACAAAGGAAACCCTTAAGGAAAGTTACAGAAAAACAGTCAAAATCAGTAACTGGACTGATCAGGTAATGCTAGTGAGGACTGGATGAAATGACAAGCTTTATAAACTGCCAGAATGGAGACAGGCATAAAGATGGAAGCTCTGATAGTGATTTAAACACTCAACTATACTCATACAATGATCAAATATGAGTATGGCCTTCCTAACCAATCCCCTATCTTAACTTGAATTCCTTCTTGCCTACAGAATAGAGAAATAATGAGGAACAGAAGTGGGAAGAGAAGAGAGGAAAGTTTTAGGTGTAAGGTTTTTCATTAAATATTGTACACATTTAACGTGGAAACTGGGTCTGCACAGTGCTCAAAGACAGTAGTGATGGTCTCAGGTACTCTGCAAGTCGGATCACAGGCTGATCACAGCTGATGCTATGTCTACTCCTGGAAGGTTAAATGGCCGTCTGCTCAAGCCATCCAACTGCCTGGAAATGAGCTTCCCTAATTAGGCCTGCTTGGACCAGTCCAACTCCCTTCTGGAAGGAACATCAGATCAGGAGAGAAGGGAGCACACTGTGGTGCTTCACAGGAGCTGACTTACTGTTATCAAGGCAGGTAACAAAACTTGCTGGAAATTAAATAAAAAGTTACTAGGTCCAGGAATGCACCCTAGGACAGGTTTCTCTTTCTGCTAGAAGAGTAACAGCAAGGAAAGGCTTCTCTATATTCTCAGAAAGGATGGCCCAGCAACAGGAGGACAACCTACGCTGCCCACAAGGGGTGTCCACCAAAGCCATGGCAGACAAGTGAACACACAGTCACAGCTCCCCAGACACACTGCAGTAGCCTCTCTCAGCTCTATGGGAGCCAGGGAACCTCAGCAGAAGTCACAGATGCCTTACCTAAGAATAGGAGTCAGGGAACTCTCACTTCTACTCGGCAGTGCAGTATTTACTGGAGTACCTGACTCACACACTGCAAACACAACAGTAATCAGAGTCTAGCTCCTCAGTCTAGCTCCTCAGCATTTGCAGTTAAGTCAGAAAGAGACCTTAAGCTCATTACTACCAGCCCGACTGTAACAAAAGCTGAGATAAGGGCAACAAGGGCCACAGCAGGCTGTGCTAGTCTGGGCTCAAGAACAAATGGATTCCTCTGACAACACAGTATTTAAGCAATATCTGAACACGGACTGTGAGTTAACTAGGTAGGGTAAGGGAGCTTTCTAGGCAGAAAAATGGCATACGCACAGGCTCTAAAAAATTCACCAGTATTAACTATAAAATTTGATGCATTATGATAAATGTACATGGCCTGGTAACTACACCAAAATCATCAAAATCATGATACAGAACATTTCCTTACCTCAAAATGTTCTCTAGACAAATCTCTTACCCCCACCCGGCCCATACCACCACTGAACTGCTTAGATGTTCCTTTTCTAGATCTAGACCTAAATGAAATCACACAGCACATAATTTTTGTTTAGCTTTTGCACTTGCCCTAACAGCTTTGAGATTCATCCATTCTGCATTCCTTTTTAATACTAAGAAGTATTCCATCCTGTGATGTACTACTTAGACATTTATGTGGTTTTCAGTCTGGGAGTTACTGAGAATGAAGAGTAAACACCTAGAAGCAGAAGACTGATCAATCCCATGTTTATAAGAAAGTGCCAGGCTGACTTCCAAAGTGCACCTGCAATGTATGAATTGCAGTTGTCCACTTTCTGGTGATTGTCACTTAATTTTATAGTACATAGTGGCATTCCATTGTGGTTTAGATTTGCATTTCCTAGTAAGTAATCTTGAAGCTGAGCATCTGTTCACAGGCTTAGATGTCATTCATGTGTCTGCTGTTGTTGAAGTAGTTATTCAATTTGTTTGCCCATTATACTATTTTTCCCTATTACTAAGTTGTGATACTTTTTTAATATATTCTGGATATACATTCTTTTTTTTGTTTTGTTTTGTTTTTGATACCGGGGGTCAAACTCGGGACCTTGCGCTTACAAGGCAGGCACCGGAACCACTGAGCTAAATCCCCGGCCCTGGATATACACTCTTTAACAGATGTTTTACAAAGATTTTCTCCCATTTGTGGCTTGCCTTCCATTTTCTTAACAGTGTCTTTTCTTAATCTTTTGTTTTGAAATAATTCTAGACTTTCACAGAAGTTGCAAAAGTGCCCCAAAGAGTTATGAGCCATTTTAGATTTTCCAATTACAGATTCTCAACCTGTATAATAATTTTCAGCTTCTTGATTCATCAACACGATACTTATTTCCATTTATTTGGGTTTAAGTTTTCTCAGCAATGTCTATGATTTCTGATATATGGGCCATGCAAAATTTTGTTCACCTTCTCCATGGGTACTTTCACTTTAGATGCTAAAATGAACATTTTAATTTAAAATTTCCAATTGTTCATTATTTGTACATATATACAATTAAATTTTCTATCATGACATAGTACTAAGTTCAGCTTTCCATTTTCGTAGATTTTTGTTGTTGTGTTTGGCGAATTTTTTGAGCTTTTTGTACACACCCAAGCTGTTTTTTTCTTCATTTCTAATTTGGGTACCTCTGAATTCCTTTTCTTGCCCCACTGCACCAGCTATAATTTCCAAACAATGCGAAATTGAAGTGGTAAAGTAAAGCATCATTCCCTTGTCCTGATCTTAGGAAGAAAGTTTATAGTCTTTCATTACTAAGCATGATATACACTACAGAACATCAGGATTTACTGAGAATTTTTTCTAATCATTAACGGGTATTGACAACTGTCAAATGATTTTTTCTCAATCTATTGAGAAAATCATGTAATTTTTATTCTTAGTTGGGTCATATGATGACATCAATGTATTTTCAAATGTTTAACCAATCTTGCATTCCTGGAATGAATCCCACTTGGTGAGTGGGAAGAAAACTAGTGCCTTTTAATATACTGATTTTAGCAGGCTACAATTCTGTTTAAGGTTTTTCTATCTACTTTTCTGGGGGACACTGAACTCTAGCTTCCCTTCATATTAGGTCAACACTGGCCTCATAAAGTGAATTGGAAAGAGTTCCCTCTGCTTTTATTTTCTGAAAAATTTATATACAATTGATATAATTTCATTTTTAAAAGTCTCATAGAATACCACAGTGAAGTGTTCTAGGATGAGTTT